TTATGTTGTAACATGATTAATATTATTTTACAAAATGGATACTTATATTTTGCGTTTACGCGGTAATTCAAGTGTGATGTCAGATGATAATAAGTCACTGCAGCTATAATATGTAACAGTCAGATTAATGTTATAAAACCAATTAGAATGTTTAAGAATGATTTCAAGTCATTTTATAATATTGTTTCTCAGTAAAGGCAAATTTCCGAAAAAAACAAATTTAGAAAAATCAAAGTAAGGCTTAAATTAGTAAGCAATATGTGTTCGATTTTCAACATTCAACATGCCTACAGATTATATAGAATTTTAATTCAAGAATCATATATTTTATTATACGACAGTTTTCTTAATTGAAATGGAAATAAAGATGTGATAATATTTTTATCCCCTAATTTTATTTTTACCTTTTACAAAACAATATTGAAATGGTCTGTGATTTGGGGTTAGGACGTCCGTCCTCGTCATTGCAAAGCGATGATTTCCCGTAGCAAATACTCGGAATACTTCCAATTTGTATTTCGTACAATATGTCCAGTGGATCGCCATCATTTTGTCAAGCAAATCCGTAGAAACGTTCAAAATCTCTCGTCTTAAATAACTTGAATGGTGCTAGTTGGATACATTGGAGCAGTGCACGTATCTAACGACGGCCGAGAACAGTTAGTTTTCGGAGAAAGAATAATAATAGATCGCAAAATATTATGTCGACAAAGTCCATCGGTGTTCGATTGTTATCCCGTTATTGACCCATTGTATAGAAGTCCGAGCAGGAGAGTACACTGCAGTGATGACTGTTAACCGTTTTATGGCTCAACCAAGAATCGACGGAATCGTGTTGTTGAGTGTTGAATGCCATGTGATTATATTAGACGTTTTCCACGCGTTGTAGGTCAAAACAATTAAGTAACTTTACGAGAACAATATCAAACTGAACAAATTACACTGTTGGAATTCATACGAATACTGTCATGAAAATTTACAAGCCCGTGATTTGTATAATGTGTAGGTACTGTCTCGATTGGTTGTCATTCATACCCGTCCGCAATGTTTGTAAATTAAAATGTCAGTTCAATTTCAACCTTTGCATTGTTATAATACGAGAATAAAAAACAACTGTAATTTAATTGTAACACGTAGTCATACGAATTTTGTGACACCAAGTCCAATAATTTAAATATAAAAATATTTTAACAATTATAAGAAACATATTGCCGCTATTTTCTCCTGGTTTTAAATGGTTATTAGTTATTACCATGTTAATCATTAATATTCAATTACTCTGAATGTATAATTTTTTCCTTATATATCCATAGTATGAGCCATGCTCATTCGTTTTCAAGCATGCATATACCTACTTATTGGATGAGCTTGCAAACTTGTTATTAATATTTTGTTTTTAAACTTTTATTTTGCCTGTTTGCTTGCTAAATACACATATTATTATTATTATTATTATTGATTCATAAGAAGCTCGCTTGTGTATTTCAACACGCATAATATAACAACATAAAACTTAAATGTAAGAAAAAATTCAATATAAGCCCTCAGTAAGTAGTAACTTACAGATGTCTTCATTTTATGTATTTTATTACATTTTCAAGTTTTTACATCTTATTATGATTTGGTATTAGAATAAGATCATAAATAATTAAATTTGAGGATAAGAAAAAATATTTATAAATAATTGAACACTTGAGTGGGAATACCATTCACTAACAGAACCTCAATTTGATTTTTAATTATTTGTCTCTTTGTTTTGTTTTGTTTTTTTTTTTTTTGCCAAACGGGTTTCTGTAATTAATGTGGTGTTAGTTTTTTTACGTTAAATAATTAATATTAAATGTCATTAGTTATTTTTTACATTCACGCGTAGCACCCACTTTCTATAGATGTACTCTGCAACAATTGATGAAATTAAATAACATTTTCAATAGTGAATATTTATTATATTATTTTAATGGTGTAAGTGTGTCGAAACATTTTATATGTTTGTGGTAGGTATCCAGACATTTTAAAGATACACACCACAAAACTTTGGTACTTCACTAATCGCTAGGTTTCATCAATATTTATGGGTATTAGCTTCAAATTCTAGAAGATTTATAGTAGGAAATGTAGTATCTCACGAGAGGTAACAGATTATACAAGCATTTGACTGGTTTATGAGAACATAAATAATGGGTTTGACTTATCAAAAAATTACATATGGTGAGAAAATGTTGAGCATTATTATTTTCTTTGAAATATTATCTATATTTAAAATTTAATTTAATAACTTGTAATTTTGAACTAACAAAAACAATTTCAAATACTATTATGATTATAACTTTGGTCTTGTTTTATTCTTAGTAATTATTACTCTTTGTAGTGTATGTTTGAATTTCGAACTTATTTTTTTCACTTAACTATTGTTGTATAATGTGTGCTTAGAGCCCTCAAAGTTTTTTCTTTCAATTTACATTCTTATTTCAGGGATGTAGATTATTTTTTTATACTCTTAACGCATGGAAACAATTAGAAACTATGGACAACATCAAATTTTTAACGTCTCATAAACAAAATGTCATAAACGATTTATCTATTTTGAGATAATATATTTTATAGAAAATCAAAATAACGTTCTGTTTTTATGATAAAATTAAATCTCAAAAATATAAGACCGTTACAGTACGTATAAATCATAAATGTGTTAGTGCGATTTAGGTCAAGATTTGTGATCGGCCAGTCTGTGTTAGTTCACAAACTACTTAATAATGGCATGTTCTGTATCTTGCCTAACTTTCGCAAGGTTTTGTGAGCATAAAATCGATTGCTATAGACTACCCCAACTCAAACCAGATATCGCATGTTTTAACTTTAGACTTGAGTTTGTCGTGTTTCTCGAGATCTAAGTAATTAAATACGCGATTTCGTATTAGAGTATATTATTGTATGTTCATTTGGATCCGTTACTAAATTATAATACGGTGACTTGTCGACAACAAGTATGCTTCTGAGCAGCAGTGTTTTTGAATTATGTTTATCATTATATTATGAGCAAATGTTTCGCAGTGTTGTCAGAGAGTATATTATACAGGTACGTCTCGTCTGTCGATACAACATGATTGTAAATTACTACAATAGATGATATTATTTTTTCGTTTTCCTTGTAAATTTCGGATCGAAAAAATAATACACCGATCAATACAATTATTATAAAATAAATAATAATAGATGTGTACAAGCCCATCTATAAGGCAAGTGACACCCAAATACGTCGATACACGATGCTATTCATTAGGTGGAGATTAGTCTATTCTCCTTATAACACTACCCCGATATCTGAAATGGCGTCTGTCTTTATTGCGAACGATTATAATTTATAGCCCGATAACTTTTGTATAACTATTTATATGTACGAAATTCATTTAACAATATGCTAAATAGAGAAAACAAATTGAATAAGCCATTTAGAAATATAATTAATTTTTTAATTTTAGAAATATTTAGAAACATTCACTACGACAAATGGCTTTTTTTTCTATTCTCCAACGAACAAAAGGTGGTTAATTATTAGTCGCAAATAGTCGTGCCATGTAAATTTCTGCCGAAAGGTAGATTTTTGCTCATCTATATTCTGTACAGTTTTTATTAATTTTTTTTTTATTACAACAAGTGCGTAGCTATTAGCCAGATTTGCTGGGGGGGGGGGGAGAGGTTGGTTATAGAACATTAGGATTTGAAATGTGTTCCAAGTATTTGTCACTAAGAACCCGAATGAGTGCAGCAGGTATTTAGAACACGTTTGTGACTGAATCCAAACACAGCGCCACACCAAGACACATTATACAATTATTATATTGTCTGAACTGTCTAATTAAACTGTTCGTGTTGTACTTGATCATCATCACGATTTACAAACAATTATTATTATTCATCATCTGTTAAATATATAGCTGTGTAAACATCATATTATATTATATTTTATCTTATTCTCGCCTATTTGACTGCAACGTATTAAAATTCAATAATCTTAAACTTCGTTATTCATTTAAGGTTTAATCGTAAAATCATTATTTTAAGAGCAAATATTATAATATTATCGTCGATTGAAGTCCATCTTGAATGTTCTATAATCATGCCTGTATAATTGAAAAACATAATATAATGAGTTATTTATTACACTTGTTGCTTTTCAGACGTATATAATAATAAGTAAGTGGCTTGGCGTGGCGCGTTGGCTGCTACCAGTCGCGGAATGCGACTGGGAGTAAGTAACGGCTACAGCTACTAGCTTCCGGATGGGTGACCATCCGGGTTCATAGTAGTTAAAAACCTTTACACACATACACGTGTTTGCTACCTACCATAACAACCGTAACAATCGTAAAAACAACTTATCGCACCAACCTTACCCCTACTATAGTAGTTCATAACCCCTACAACAGCTAATGGCCTTTGTCGCCGGGCTTAAGTTCAATAAAAAAAAAAAATAAATAATAATAAGTAAGTTACCAATATTAAATTAATAGTTGGCAGCTTTAAAAAAAATATATAATTTTATCACTTATATAAATATTTAATGCAAAGTATAAATATTTGAAAAAGATTTTCAATCATCACACTATATAATCACTGTGAACGTGCGATAATAATTTGAAAAAAGCGTCCTTAAATCGAAAATTATTGATATTTATAGACATAATAAGGACCCGAGGGATTATTAAGGAGATGGTAATTAATGCTTAGAATAAAATATGTTATTGTTGTAAATGAGCCATACAATTATGATAAAGAACCATGCTCACACATTGCAATTACTTGTTGGGTTTTTGAGTATTTAACGAAATAGCCTTTAACCAATAATCAATATATTATCTCGATGTACATTGGGTGTACGAAATAACAGTTGAATGAGTTAAATGTGAATAAAACAATTTTATATTATTGTAGGTTTTCGTACATACGAATGTTGAAGAAAAACCATTGTGAAATAAGTAATAATATTTTTTATGAAATAGGAACCTGCCAGCATTTAACCTGTAACCACCACGCAAGAAATCTCGACGGATGTACACGGCGGCTATTTGTTATTATGTTCTTCGTATTAACTATTGTACGAGATCCAGGTTTGTTATAGTTTGACTGAACTAAAACATACCGAGTTGTACAATCTCAAGACATCGTACAGTGTTGTTAACAACAGAATGATCTCAGAAAACACGACAAGGAAGGTTAACAATGAAAAAAAAATAACAACCAGTATGAAATTGTCAATTTCAAATTACTTTATTAAAAAACAAAAATGTCATTGACTGTTATTGTACAACATAAAATATGACTAAATTTGCTTAAGTTTTTTTTTTTTGTTATTCCTTTAACATTGAGCTAGAAATATAAATTTTCAATACAATTATTCTACACAAATCACTATAAATACAGAATATAAATATAGTTTTACAAATTTAGCCTTATTTTTATAAAACAACAAAAAAACATTTTTATTTATATATTTTTTTAAGTATCCATTATCTTTTATATAATATAATAAAAATTACATAGTAACGTAAATCATAACGTGTATAGAACATACATATATATATATAATATATATATATTATTGAATAAATAGTTTTTAAGCACATCGTTTTATTCTTATCTTGTATAGGTATAATAATAATGTAAAACAATATTTTAACAAAACAAAATATAATGCTGTAGACCTAGAATGGTACGTACTCGTTGTTGATCAATTATAAATTAATTAATAATACAATTATGTACTGCATTGCAGTATGAAGAGAAATAGAAAATTTGTTTTAGTGCAGAAGACCTTATTATTTTTTATTGCGAACATATTGAACATATTATTATGTTAATATTTCTGTACCTCGGAGAAAATAATAACATGATAAATTCCATTTTACCCAAAACTACTCAACAAAATCAACAGTTTAAATAATATGTGTTATGCTCTGATAGTCAGACAGTTTCACCAGCACCTCAATATATAGAATGATTTATCAATCATGCTCACGGCTGCCCCATTTTCCGTTAATAATACATTTATTTGAATTCAGATTTTTGGAATTTTAAATATACTTAAATTCCATATTTTCAAATCAACAAATTTTTTGTTCCAATTAAGGAGATTCTTGCGGCGGTACAAACTTCTAGATAAACACTCGGAAAAGAAAACTTCAAAAATATCTACATTTTTCACAAACGAAGTCTGAGTAAAGTTACTGTAAAAAAAAAATATATAAATATATATTTCACAAACTTCCTCAATTGTTCAACATATTGTATCCCCACAGTGTTAATACCAATATGTAACCAGTGACCCATATGACCTTAGATGTAAAAGCTTTGTTAACCCAATAAAAAAAAAAAACCAAATAAGAACCCTTCTTTCTACTGTAAATTATTTCTGAAAATGTATTTGTACCTAATTCAAAATGTACCTAGTGATATGTTAGTTATTAAAATGTATACATAAAATGACGATAATAATCCTTAAAAATGGTTTTACAAAAATATAAATTAGACGTAATATTAAATCTATTATTTATTATGTTTGGACTATTTTCACAAATTATAAATGCAAAATGTTGTTGGGCGTATATTAATTTCTAAAATATTCAAATCAATATAGCCCTACGCCTAACACCATATATTCCAAACCCATCATCATGGTCTTTTTGTCATTAGAACACAATCTTGAATAACTCAAAAACTACTAACTTGAATTTGATTTTGATACTTCAAAATGACTAGATAAATCATCCACTAAATAATTTACAGTATAAAGAGGAGGGGGGGGGGGTGATTCTCGCAAGAAGTTTGTATCTCCACAGGATACTTCTTAAGTACCTATCACGAAAAATCTCAAGAATATTAAAAATATGATCGTTAAATATATTTAAAAATTCCAAAAATGTAGATTTTGAATAGCTAAATTACCTATTTAAGAAAAAAATGGGGTAAGCATGCTTGATGAATCACTTAGTCCAACATTACAGTAGCTGTTCTGTATGTGTGTCGATCTTACAGACGACGTGTGACTTTTAATGTTTTTAATTTTTTTAACGTCTGATGTACCTACCCAGTGAATTATATTTTAATGTCGCGAATCGTATGAATTAATTCTTACAATATTGTATTACTGGATACGAAATAGGACAAATTTTCATAATTAATAAAACAATAGTTTGGATATTTCTTTAAAAAACCTTTTGAACATCGTGGCGGGGTAGCTTTTCAAGAATTTATCTAGACAAGTAGGTACCACACATTTTCGAACAACATATAATCAATACCATATTCTGACATAAACGTGTTTTAATGTAACGAGTATCGTTTCGTAGTTATGACGAAGACTGTTTTAATAAACTCGACATCCCAAGCTGTCTTTCAACCGTTGTTAAGCTCGTTGATATACATTGTAAGCATTACAGGTTAAAATCGAATTTAATCTACACCGAATAATTCACCGTTTATCGTTTTTCAGTCATTTAGATCACAATTTGCCAAACTTCTGCATAAGACGCACTCGCAACGTTCTACCGGTCATCAATATTCGGCTTTCGGGTGAGTAGTAGTATATGGTATTATTATGAATATTTTATGCGTACTTATCATAATATCATTATATTTGTATTGTGTTTGATATTTGGAAGAGGCACTGTGCGCCCAGTTATGATAAAGTTTAGGCTCGTCCTTTATCGTCCACGTACCTACAATCGACATTTTCGAAAACACTTGGTTGGGTTCTACCGCAAAAAAACCATACACATTATCCAATTTAAGTTGAACGTTATAATTTACAACGCACGGGGAAGGTTATACTATTATAATATGGGATTGGTCTGTAAAGCCTTCCAACAAAATTGAATTCCCATAGCGAACTAACCGTAATAATATGTCTTTGGATATGATGTGAAAATTGGAAATTCCGAGTTTATAGTTTCAGCAGAGTACGAAAAACCTTTTTATCTGTGCTGCGGGGATTTACATTTTTTTTCTGCACACTTCTATTCGATATTAAAAATACGAACACGCGTAATATTTCATATTTCTCTAAAAAAAAAAAAAAATACAATTTTAATTTCATACGGCCTTCACGCATTCTGACTGCACTCGTTTTTAAAGTGTTCTAAATGTCTTAAAATAATATCGTTTCAAAACTTAAATAATGAGTACCTATTGCAAAAATTGTCATAAGCAAGTAAGCGCTCAATTTTTGAAATGATCGCCAAATCGTGTGAACGCGAACGAAAAGGGAAAACAACTTTTGAGCGAAAGGTTTTATGCCCTATACATTTTGTATTTCGTCAAATGAAATCTTAAGAGTAAAAATGTCTAAATTTACTATACAAAAAGTGACTCGATGATTTACGGTAAAAAATAAACTGCTGGTTCGTTTGCCCAGTTAAACATGCGGTACGTCGACAAAATTAAATGCCAGTGACTGTGTACGAGTCAAAACAACACTTATGAAAATCGATTACAAAATACAGCGATAAAATATTGTTATAATGTACACACATACACGACCGTATACAAATCCAAACACACCCATGCCCACCCGCACGCATAGGTACACACAATTTTTACAGGTCAGCTTCTGAAAAAAGATAATAATATATAATGTGATCGTGGCACGTCGTGTGTAATAAATAATATCGATTATCGTGCAGGAAATGGATCGGCGAAACCGCGAAAACTCATCCCCGCCCATCCAACCCTCCGAAACTTTCAGGGACGACATTCGTTCCGGAACGTCGCGGGCGCCGTCACCTCCCCAAACACCCCTATATGTGCCGCCGTCGTTGCATTCAGCGGTGGTGGTGCTGCAAGTGCTGGTGCTTTTCGTCCATGTGCAGGATCTTCTTGAACGACCGCCGGAAGTCCATGTTGCACCGGGTGTATATGATCGGGTTGACGGTGGAGTTGAGGTAGCCGAGCCACGTGACCACGTTGACCAGCACCTTGGACGGCGGGCAGCACGACTTGCAGAACGGGAAGAACAGGTAGATGACGAAGAACGGCAGCCAGCTGACGACGAACACGCCCATGATCACGCCCAGCGTCTTGGCGGCTTTGCGCTCTTTGGACAGCGATATGCGCTGCTTGTGCTCCAGCAGCTGGTTGACGTGCTTGCCCATCGACGGCGCCGCTCGCACGGCCATCGGCGCGCCCCGCCCCGACCGCTGCTTGTCGCCGGTGCCGCCCGTGCCGTTGGTGGCCGCGTCCACCTCGTCGCTGCTGCTGGCCGAGTCACCGGTGGCCGCGTCCGCCGCCATCTTGATCTTGCCGCTGCCGGTGGCCGCGTCCTCCCGTTTGCACGACGAACCGACCGCCGCCGCCGGCAGTGACGCAGCCACCTGTTTTGCCCGGCGTCTCAGCCGCCGCCTGGTGGCCACGTATATCCTCAGATAGGTGATGCTCATCACCACCAGCGGTATGTAAAACGAACCCATGGACGAGTACACCACGTAACCCGGGTGCGTGGTCAGCGAGCACGGCGTTTGTTCGTCGAACACGTCCGGCCAATCGTTCCAGCCGATCAGCGGCGGCGAGCTGATGACCGCGCTGGCGATCCACACCAGCGCCACCGTCCACATGACCCGGGACACGGTGCGCTTCTGCGCGTACGCTATCGGCTGCGTGATGGCCCGGTACCTGTCCAGCGCGATCGCGCACAGATTCAATATGGACGCGGTGCAGCACAGCACGTCGCACGTCAGCCACAGCTTGCACACGACGCCGCCGAACAGCCACTTGCCCGTCACGTTGTAGACGACGTTCAGCGGCAGCACGCCTATGGCCACCGTCAGGTCGGCCACGGCCAGCGACACGATGAATATGTTCGGCACGGACCGCAGCGGCGGGTACTGCACCACGCTCATGATGACCAGTATGTTGCCGAACACGGTGACCACGATCAGCGCCGTGGTTACCACGATTACCGCGATCACGGTCACGTAGGCCGCCGATTCCGACATCGTACCGTTTCCGCCGGACTTCTGGCAGCCGTTCGCCGCCGCAGCGGCCAGCTCGATCGCCGCCGCCGACGTTTCGTTGATCATTTGCAACGGTCGCTGATCCTGCAACACAACGTCGTCACATAATATAATATTATAATTTTGGTTTATTATTAAAAAAAATGATAAAAGTATGACGCATTGAAATGAATTCATCCTTCGAAGCTTTGCGGTTATGGGATAAGGAAGTGGCGACAAATTTTGAAAATTTAAAATTAATATTTTCAGTTCTTAAACGACTATATTTAAATACACGACTTTGCACACGACTTTTATCAAAAACCTAATGAAGACAATAGTTCACCTAGTAACCGGTTTTGCAATTACGTAGAGTTATTATTTATTACACCATCGGACTTTTTACCAACAGTAAGAAATGTACATTTTTTTTTTTTGACTGCAAAGACATTGCATTCGAATTAGATGAATCTAAATAATCCCGTAAATGTTTACCAAAGTTTTTGTGCCCCAGCTTGAATTTCATTATGAATAACTTTTATGTTTCATCATTATTGTTATTGGCGATATAGGCATTGCCCGCTGTGAGTAGTTAGTACCTATTATGCACGTCATAATAATCGTTAACAATAAATTTTATAATAACTACTTCTAAAGTAGTTCCACTGTTTTGTTTCAGACATTTTATTAGCGGCGCAGTGTTACTCTCTAAACCAAGCGTTTGGGGACTCTGTTTGAAAATGCCATTCTTTTTTTTTTTTTTACGAACTAAAAAGATTTATATTTAAATTGTACATTTGAAACCTGAGAATTAAATATTCCGGTACATAATATAATGTTACTGCGATAATAATACAATACATATTATATTCACTGCAGTTATTACATTAATTCCATTTATATATATTCACTGCTATATTATTATGGTCACTGCGAAACCACTTTTAAGATTTAACTCAACACGTTTTATGGCAGAAATTAAAAATTGCGGCTCATAAAGTATAATTTTTTGCACATTTTACACGGCGCACCAGTAACATCCGTATAAATAATTAAAACACATTATGCAAAATACGAAACTGAAAAATTATCATAATTCGAATGGTATTTTTTCCACACCTGACAACAAACCCGGGTAATAAAACGTATGAGCTTAAACAGCACGAAATATGTAATGTATTTTTAACAGTAGTCGATACGACTATGCATTAAAAAAGCGATTATAGTAACTAACAATAACACAGATCGATAACATTGAAAAAAAAAACCCACCGGCCAACATGTCTTGCTTACAACCGCGCGTGTATCCTGTCAGAACAAATCTCGTAAACGGTCACATTTCGCCAGGCGCGGATCCAAGGGGGGGGAGGGGGGCAAGGGGGCAAGGGGCCATGGCCACCCCCCGTAGACTCGCGCTTAAATGGACTTGCATTACTTGCATTTTTATCAGACTTATAGGCTGACATTTTATTTAAGATGGCCCCCCTCCTCCCCGTCAATACGTTCTAGATCTGCGCCTGCATTTCGCCGGGTTTCATTTCCAACTCACTATACTCATTCAAACCAATTTAAATCCGTTTGCGACCACCTTTTCCGGAGTTAAATATCGCACAGTATATTATTATGAACGCGAACAACGACATATTATTATTACTCGTATTATTATTATTATTATTATTATTATTATTAACTTCTTATCTTATTGTGACCACTTGACTTCCACTCGACCGCCCGCAGCGTACCGCGACCGTGTTCGCGTCCTCGAAATATTAAACTCGGTCGTATACGATATTTTGCGATAATTATTGCGTCTCGTACGAAACTTATACTTAGTCTGTGTACACAACAATATTATATATTAGTGTTCGGCATGCTACGCGGCTGTCTGAATATTATCATATTTTATGGTGCACCCCGAAACTCGCGGCGGGCACACCCAATTAACGCGAAAAGGAAATTGGGTGTCGTCCCGTTATCGGAAACATTCAATTTATGTGCCCGACCTGTGCATTTTAACGGATTTAGCGGATGCATATATACCGTTTACCTCGGATTTCCACGACTGATGAACGGATATATTATATTCGAAGAGCGCCGCGATATATACCGTCTTTGCCGGTTGTGCGGAGAAATTAAATGTTGCCGATTCCTTATAGTGATTGATATCGTTTTATGTTTTTCTCGCGAACCGTGTCGCGGTTCCTCGGATTTCGCAATTATTTCCCCCCCCCCACCACTGCTTTTGCTTGAGTAGGTAGTGCCAGTAACAGAAGTTTAAACGGTAAATCACCGGTAGATATTATTCATATTTTATATACACCTTGATGGTATGAAATAGTTCGATATTAATCATGTTTTCGATAAATTTGTCAGACGATTCGACGCGTATACCCGGGTTAATTGGATTTCATAAAACCAGACTAAAAATTTACTTTATTTTCTTTTTCTCGAATGTATGGTAATAATAATAGTAGTTTATTTTATTATGTACGTTAAGTATTTAAATGTATCCAATGTCTGTTGAACGATTTAAAGACGCTCTTCAAAATGTCCAAGTATACGGAGCATAGCTATTTATGGTGAAAATCGAAATGCAATAAATTAATACGTTTAATTCCATATTGAAATTTTATCACTTATTATACATTTTACACACTCGTAATTTAAAAGAAAAATTTAAACTCAAATTGAATTGTTATTGTAGCAAATCTGCAATTTATTTTCTATAATATAATAATGAAACATAGTGAAACAATGTTTAGTAGAAAGTCTAATTGGATCTTGATTATATATATGTTCAGATAAATTTAAAAAGTATTTATTGATATTGATCTTTGAAAATGATTTCCTTATAAATGTCTCTCTTATATATGTTGCACCAACTGTTTTATATATCGATGGTTGTGTTCGGAAAACATTTTCTGCAATTCGACAAAGCTCAGTCACGTCATTAGTTGGTTTAATAAGTTTTCCTCTTGTTTTTATGTCTATGAAAGGCATTGGAGTTAAATTTTGTTCAGACAAAACATTCACACATTCTGGGCAATTAATTATTTTTATTAATTTTTTTGTTACAGCTCCACTTATGTACTGAGTTACAAAGTGGAATTGAGCACATCAAAACCATTTTGATGAAGTATGTATAACAACAAAAAACGTTCAAAAATGGCAATAACAATAAAACAACACGGTTCTAGTTAGAATTCAAAATGTAGTTTATTTTACTCTTAAAAAACACGTGAGCAGTAGGCGCTTGACAAAGTAAACAAACAATTTTTTTAATCTTTTTAACTTTTTTATCATTCACTTTTTTACTTATCAGTTAATAGGTCTATGATAATACTTATCAATATTATAAAAAGTCTTGGAATAATCAAATAAATATTAATTTTTTCTTCCGAGATACTGGTTTTTGCTTATCAGATGTTGTCTGATTTTTTTGAGCTCAAGGCGCAGTCCATTTAGTTAATAGGTCTATGACTTGAATAATGAAATAATATTGATGTGATAATTATTTTAAATTTATTTTTAAATTTAAAATGTTATCACTGGAATTGATAATAATTTTGGTATCGTTGGTATTGCATTTTGGTATAAAACCCACGAAACGATGATGATCGTGATAAATGTGATCACACGATCATAAAAACTAGATACAACACGACACGACACGACACGGTGTAAGCGTGAACCCCCCTTAAATGATAATGCTTTAAATAGTCATGTTTGGTGTTGTTATTCACAATATTGCGGTACTGTACTACTGAGTATCTTAGTATAGGTAGTTAGTTTTGTACAACGATATTTCTCACTAAATCCAGTACTCACCATCCACCCGCCCAAAATTATCGGGCACCTGCCCTTCAAAATCACGGTCAACACGCCGCTGAGTCCATTCTACTTGTTTTTATATTGTGTCAATGTGTGTGACATTATAGATCCAGACGAGGAACTTATTCAGACGGAAACTGGCACAACCGACCGTTTGACTTTGATACGATCAAATCGAAAAGATCGATATTATTATTGCACTCCCAATCGTGCAAAATTATTTTACTCGAAAATACTACGTTTCGAACCAAACAGGCGGTCCTGGATCATATCACGGTCTTCCCTCAACAATGCATCTGTGGTCAGTGGTGCCCCCCGAAGTTGGTTTTACCCAAGAAAAGTGTCATAGGTAAATGAGCGGGTGGGCGAGTGTAACGTGGAGATAAAAAGAGACATTTGTGCAGTGGGGCCCCCACCGAAACTCTCGTCCTGGTGCATTGCTCTTTAATTCTAAATAAACGAAATCGAATTGTCAAACGAATTTGCAACCGGACGTTTCAAGACGTAGGTATTGAAGTTCACTATTTACCACAGATGTGCCTACGTAAAATTCATACAAAAAGTCTGGTATACATATACATTTATACGGCGGTTAATACTAATGGTTGTGGGGATGATTGTAGATTTGTGCGGTGAATTCTAATGGATTAGTTTTGATTTAAAGAGCACCGGGGCGAAATTACAAAACTTAGTCTCTTACATTAAAAAATATATAAGTGCGGATGTTTGTATCAAACTTTGCGGTCTACCAGTCGTAAAAACAAATAACGTGGCTACCGCGAATAATGTAAATTTTTAGAATCCCCCGGTAAAGGTCTCGAAGTAAAAACGGATGAAACAAAAGAACAAAAAACTCGCAGACATATAATGATATAATAAGGTCAACTGCCCATATGTACGCAGTAGACACTTTGTCGTCTTTAGCTCTGCAGTCATTGTATTATTCGGAATAAACTATATTTATGGGCGCAATGAACGAACGACATTTGTTTTCGCGGGATCGCGTATAATAATCTCTTGATTTGGTCGTTTACTCGTTACAACTCGAAGTTGATTGATAAATAATTGTACGGTGCCCGCGTTTAAATTTAATCAAACGCGTCGAAAAACTTTCACTCGGATAGTATCGTTTAAAAACGTAGTTCCAGTCGGTAACTATATGCGCACTGTGCATAGCTGGTGCCCGTTCCGATTAAGCAAAGCTCATCGGAAAGCTGAAACCCTTTGTAATAAAACGAATTCCGACGGCAACCGTACGCGAAAGTTTTTCCCTC